GATTTAGCTATGAATATGTATTTCTCCCTCCAAGTCACCAGCCTGGCTCTTAACTTGGTCTTTAGCACCTAAATTTTAAATGAAGACATTTGTGGCTTTTTTCCCCCAGCAACTTCCTCAAGTCAGTCTTTAGCCATAATTTAGTTTACTGTTGTTCTGATTATTTCCAGTCAGGGGAATTCTGCCGAAGACACTTTACTCAGACACAGCTAACTAAACTCACAAATTATTCTACATTTCAGTGCCTACAAATATAAAAGTTGGAGGGAGAAGACAGGCAGAAAAGTTGAAATAGTGGTAAATTTAGCTAATCCCACCAGCAGTTCTTGACAAGCCACAGATGCCAAAAAATAAATGGATGTTAAATATTTGGGGTGGCAAGCAGGTAGAGAACTACAAAATAATTCCCAGACTGCCACACCACACACAAACAGAAGAAGAGCTGTGCTGCTTTTCACCACTTCCCCAAAACTGTTATCTAGTTTGAACTAAAATTATCTAGACTGAAAAAATATGAAGCCATAGTGAAGGTGGAAACTGATATTTGGCTTTTGAATTCTCTTTTGTCCTCAAAAAGGTATTAATTACCCCCAAACATCCAATGGCAAGTGAATGACCAGCACATGCAGCTACCAAACAGTATCAAAGCACATCAATTTTAGAATACCCTCAAAGATAAGTCAGAGTGTCCCAATAACCACAGCTAATCCTCTGCACTTGGAAAAGTTATAAATCAGTAGATATTTCAACAATAATTGTCTCTTGATGTCCTCCAATCTCAGTCTCAGAGCTTTCAGGAATTCTTTTACTCAGATCTTTCAGGACAGCCTGTAAACCAGATACTGCTGCAGCATGTGGTTGCTGGGGGGGGAGGAGGGGGGGAGAGGGGTTTTTTTGGTGGGTGGGGAAAGGTGAAAACTGACAACTTCTCCAAGTCAATCCTGAACCAGGATGCCAATAAATAATTTAAACCTATTATATATTTGCAGTTCCCCTCCTCCTGTACTCAAAACCAATAAGTGGAAGAGATCAATAACTCACAATCCTAGTGACTTGATACTTTATTTATTCCTTAGGGCAGAGTTTAGAGCACCAAAAGTCACTTTTTACAGCAAAGTCAAATAGCTCACTACGTCACAACAGCACACTGGCACAGGCACGCAGGGTTACAAAATCTCCATTCTTCTGACATGGGAACCCCTTAGTTTCTACATCTTTCTTTAAGCTCCTAACAATTACATCTTCCAACCACACAATTCGAAGAGGTTTCAAAAGTACTGCCTAAAACAAAGTGTCTATAAACAAGAAAACAGCCTCCCCTGCCCCCCTATGCCATGCTGCTGTCTCTGATAGGAGGCAGCAAGGGGGGGCAGGTGGGTTTGCGGGAGCTAACAGGTGCAAAGAGCTGGCTGGAAAGCAGGCTCCTATAAAGAGGCAGTGGGGACGGACGGACAAATGTGAGTTGTCGAGTAGTTGACAAGCTTAACCGATAAGCCTAGGCTTATCAGTTAATCATATATAGTCATCTACACACAGACTTTCCTAGAGACCAGAGACTAGCTACAGTTTCCTCACATTTTGCCCTGACTGGTAAGAAGTGCCACATGGCCTGGATATTCCTATCTGACTTATGGTTAAGTATCTCAGACATTGACTTTTTCTTAAAGAAGCGTTTCCCCTTTTATTGCCTAAAATTTCACCACAGGCAGTAAGCCTGACAGAGACTCGTGGAACCTATGGCCCTTCTGTAATTAAGAAAAAAGTCGAAATATATTTAATACCGTCTAAGAAGAGAGACCTAGAAAAGAGCAGTATTTACTTTAGCCAGGGCTGCTCTACATTAGAGATGAGAGTGGGTAAATGTTTAAGCGCGATACTTACTGGGTAAGTTAACTGTTACATGGGAACAGCCCCCTCTCCCTCCCCTCCTGTGGAAGAGGCAGCTGGGGGGGAGGGGGGAGCTGCCAGCTAGTAGCCCAGTACATGACCAAAAGCAGCTGGGCTGGGGCAGCCCCTGCCTGTGGGCCATGGCAGCTACAGCCTGCCCGCCCCCATTTAATCAGTTAACCGGTTAAATGTAATGTTTAATCAGTTAACTAAGTTACATGGGATTTTACATTCTCTACTCTACATGTTCGTAATTTAGAAGCTGCATTTCACAGGTTACAAGTTTCCAAGGCACACAACAATGGCTACTCTTCATGGTTTATTGATCTTATGGAAGCACCTAAAGCTTTCAGATGTGAAAGGCCACAAAACTACTTACAGTTCTATAATGCATTTATATGGTTGCTTGGGAAATTTACTGTGTTGTGGGGGACTCCAAAATCCGATCAACCTGCCAACTTTGAGGGACACAGGGGAAAAAATTAAACGCACACACTTATATTAAGAGGGAAAAAATCCTGAATAAGTACCCATTATCAAGTTATTCTGCTGCCAAATCTTCCACAACAGGACCCAAAGGTTGGGTAGACAAAATAAACATCTGCAAACATTCCCTTTTTACTGATACAGGAGTTTGAGACCATATGGGATGTGCATCAGACAGTAAGTAACAGACAAGAGAACGTTTATCTTAAAGCTAGTGTAGAGCATTACTAACCTATGTGACCACAATAAGGAATTCTGGGAAACAAAACAAACAAAAAATCAGATTTTTAAAAATCCCACATATCTACAAATATAGAGAAAGACATCAAAAGACTGACTGGTGGCCTTTGATTTCACTACCTAACCCTTGAAAGTCTGAGCGACTGAAAGGCTATACAGATGTTTGGTTAAAATAGAACAGTTGGTCTTACAGAGCGAACACGTAATACAATACCGACAGCAATGCTGGATTGGGTTCCACATGCTACAGAGTTCTAGAACAGATTTCTCACAAGGGAAGCTTAAGTACACATCAAACACGGCTGGAGATGTTAAAATTCAAGCTTCCACACATGATGGCACTCCCATGCATTTCCAATCCTTCTATTCCACAACAGAGCCACTCCGATGGTGAATTTAAAGAGGGCTCAAAGAGAGACCACATTTATCCATAACACCACAAAAACAAACTCCCACTTGGCTCTGAGCAGGACTTGCTTCTGCCAAAGAGAACAATTCATCCCTATAATCCCAGTCAGCTCCATCTGACAGGAAGGATTCATGGAGACAGCAGCAGTGGTCACTGCTTAGATCCTGAATCTTTTGAAAATGGGTGAAGGAGTTAGAAAGAGAAAAAAGAAGCATGCTTCTACTTTAAAGATTCTCCGTGCCTCAGAAAATTAATCTTCAGAACCAGGTTCAAAAAGAATCAACAGCAAAATAAATGTAACCCATTTTATTATCCAAGTTAGAATCCTATCTGCAGTCTGATGACACAACTTGCCCCTATGATCTAAGTAACTATTTAGAAGGGCTCACAACAGACCAGAAAACTGGTCCACACTGCTGAGAGCAAAAATAACCTTTGCTATGCTCCCAACTTGTTCTCCTTTGACCAATCCAACTGGTTTAGGAAACTGCTTTACCCTAGATGCTAAAGGAAAAGAATTTCCTGTAAGTGGAAATAATCAATTCTTTAGTGAAATCAAATAAAGTTCAACAGCTCAAACTCTTCATAGGCAAGGATCTATTTGGTTAGCATACACAGAACTTTAAAGGAGAAATTTATCAACCCTCCCCACTAAGTTGTTTTAAACTTCCTAAAATGTAGCAATCGCATCTCACTCAACAAGCTGACAGACTGCTGTATGCAAAAATTGGGTAATTTTATAAACTATATAATAGTCTGATTTTTTTTAAACATAGCGAGCAGATTTGGAATGCAAAGGAAACTACTGTCTGCAGTGAAAGGAGCTATTTATAGCTGATCTTCCTAACTCTAGGTACAGAGTAACAGGTCTTATTCACAATGTGTTTGGTCATGTTGAAGCGTAGGTGCACTATTCAGCAATGTAAATAATTCACTGACACACCTGCAGCCTGAGCAAATTGTAGCCACTATTAACATACAAGTAATGCTGGGCTGAACTGAAGTGCAAAAAAAAACCCAACACAAACAAACCCCAGTCAAAACCAAAATCACCCAAACAAGTCACTGCACACCTACATTTTAAAAACCATAAAACCAGAGGCTGTCTTAAGAGTGATCAGTTCTCTTCAACAATTGGAGAACTAACATGAAAACATTAGCACGTCATATTTGAATAAATATTCAGGCCAGAGCTTTCAGGATTAAAAAAAAAAATTACCCTCAGCTCCATTACCTTTGTAAATTATATTTAATCTCCAGGAAGAAACCAGAAGCTACTAACTAAAGGCACAAAGCATAGGCACCTTCTATGACTGCTTCATCTGGAATATTACCAGTATCTGGTTGCCCTCATACCCTCACTTACAGGCAGCCTCACCACTCACCGGCAGGCTGGAGGGCCTTGACTGAAGATTCAAGTTCATATCTTCTTGTCCTTTACTGGAAGCCATTGAGGGGGCAGATGATGCTTGGGACCCAAACGAGTCTTGAGATAACTCCTGAAACACAAAACACAGAAGTGAAATAGGGGTACAGCCCTGCAAATCCGTGGATATCTGCTTTATACCCATAGATATTTGCATCCGTGGATATGGATGCGGTTATCCGTGGGTCATTTTTGCAGATATGGAGGCGGATACAAATCCATGCACGGCTCTAACTGTGGGTTCCCCAGCAATCTGTTCGGGAGTATTCCAACAATAAGGAGGTAACAGTTTATGTAACATTTGATGGCATTTGTCCAAAACAAAGAAGGGGACCACATAAAGGAATTAAGTTAGCATCCGCTGCCTTTACACAGGATCAAGACTACTAATGGACAGCAAGAACAAGTGTCAGTATTACAAGGAATTTCAGCACTAAAATATTGACTTGTCTGTATTTTTCACAATACATACTACCAAAGAACCAAGATCTCTTGTAGGCACTTTCTCCTAACTTCTATATTTTTCCTCTGTCAATTATAGGAATCAATTAAATATATTAACAGACCTGGTTCAAAACACAGGACAGTTTTCTAAGAAGTTGTGTCAAGATTATTAATCTTTTTTACAAAAATTGTGAATGTTGAAGGTTTTCTGACAACTCAATGCGTTAGAATGGGGTAAATGCATTAGAACAGGTGTAGGCACCAAAGGGCCTCTGCAGGCCGGATCCAGCCTGCCAAGCGGGTTGATGTGGCCCACAGAGGCCCTGCAGCTCCTCTGCCCCCAGGCCAATCAGGGCCTAGGGACAGGGGAGTGCGCGGCACTTACAGTCAAACACTAGGGTTGACTCTAAGCACTGCATGCTGGAAGGCAGGGAGCAAGAGACTTTGTGCGCAACCCCCTGTCCCCCAGGCCAATCGGGGCCTGAGGGTGGGGGGGAAGCGCACAAAGTCTCCTCCCGCCCTGCAAGGGGCGCTGCGCTTCTGAGTGCTGCACGCTCCTTGTGGTACAGAGCCAGGGCAGGAGGAGACTTCGTGTGCTACCCCTCCCCCAGGCCCTGACTGACCTGGGAGAGGCAGGGAGCACACAAAGTCTTCCACCACCAGGGGCAGGGTGCCAAGAGAGAACCACCAGCTGTTCAGAACAGCTGGTAGTTCTCTTGGGGGGGGGGGGGTTGTCTGAGGGTGGGGAAGCACAGAAGTGTCTGGGTCCCACCCCTTCCACCTGAGGTCCCACCCCTTCTGGGGCAGCCCAGGGCCACTTCTAGAATTTCTGAGGTGGCCCCTGGTCAAAAATTGTTGCTAGCCCCTGCATTAGCATGTTAAGGCAGATGAAGATAATTTTACCTTTAACATAACCAGCTTTGCTCTCTGACACCACCCACCATTTTATGTTTGTGCTGGGTATTTCATTTCGTCCCAACTTTAGGGTTTTACATCTAAGGCTCAGCTCTTCCATCACTCTCTACATCCCCTACTACTCTGTCGTCTCCAGGTCACTTTTCAGACTGGGTCTAGTTTTCATTTGCTTCGTCTTCCAAACCTGGGGTCATCTGTAAACTGAAATAGTTTATGTGGAAAAGCCTCACCCAAGCTTTTAAGCAACAAAGTAGCCACTCAGGCTACGTCTACACTACAAGGTTTTTGTGCAAAAACCTGGGGAGCATCCACGCCTCAAGCACGTTTTTACGCAAGGAAATGGACAGTAAAATGACAGAACAGAGGGCTTTTTGCAGCGTAAATATACCTCCTTCTATGAAGCATAACTCCTTTTGTGCTACAGCTCTTGCGGAAAAAGGCAAGTATGGATACTCCACAGGGGTTTCTTGCACAAAAAGAGTCTAGCCGAAAAAGCACAGGTGCCCTGATGGCCATTCTGTGAATGGCCATCAGTGCTTTCTTGCGCAAGAGCATCCATGCACTGTGGATGCTCTCTTGCGCAAAAGAGATGCGCTTTGAGGTGTGGATGTGCTTTTGCAGAAGAACTCTTCCGCAAAAGACTTCTTGTGCAAAAACCCTGCAGTGTAGACATAGCCTCAAGGTGCAGAGATAGGCTTGTGACTTTCAGTGATCAAAAAAGCTCCAGATCTCTTGGGAGTCTTGCATTGGGATACAAAAGCAACAGGAAGCATGATCTCTTGAAGGTCTAGAAACTCTGACAAACATTGCAGCTCTGTGGACCACGTGGAGACATTGCACGAACCGCAGTTTCAAAGCCTTTCAAATGACAGGTCTTTTAGAATGGTACAGGCAGTCCCCGGGTTACGTACAAGATAGGGACTGTAGGTTTGTTCTTAAGTTGAATTTGTATGTAAGTCGGAACTGGTACATATTGTAGGGGAAACTCTAGCCAAACATTTCTCCATAGCTCAGTTTTATTCTCCCACACCTCACTTCCCTCATTCCTTTATTCTCAAGCTGAGGTGTCTGCTGAGAAAAGCCGCTCCGCGTCTCCCTGGTCTGCTTGGGGGGACGCTAGCTTCTCATCTCCCTGGTCTGCTGGGGGGAAGCAGCTAGTGCGGGGTTGCCTCACCCCGTTTGTAAGTAGGGATCCGATGTAAGTCGGATTCATGTAACCCGGGGACTGCCTGTATTGCCAATTAACAGTATTCACCAAGTACAAACAGTCGTTTCTGAACACTACTGTCTTGGTGACCTTCTCTACATAGTAGCCTACACTCTGAGCATTCAGTGGTCTCATTTCTCCATCACAGCCAAAGGGGAGACAGGTCTATGCCGACAGAGGGTGATCTGTTCATTAGTTTAATCATGGTTAACTAGGGGTTCAGTGATTTTAAAATGGGCAAATGCTGCAAATTCTGGTAGTTACCAAGTCTAAGGGACAGTGAGCAGCAGAGGTGCTACCTGTGGAGGTGGAAAGCGTTGCTGGGAGTATGCAGATGGTGGCTGTTGCTGCGGCTGTGACTGAGGGTATGAAGAAGACTGCTGAGAAAGAGCAGAGGAGGCTGTTTGCGGAGTTTGTTGCTGCTGCTGGTAGGGTGACTGCGACTGCTGCTGGGAGTACGGAGGCTGGCTCTGTTGGTGTGGCTGGGCTGCTGGCGGCTGCTGGGGATATGGAGATGGGGACTGCTGATGGGGCGTCTGGGACTGCTGCTGTGAGTATGGAGGCTGGGACGATGGAAGCTGCGGAGGTTGAGACTGAGTCTGCTGTTGTTGATAAGAAGGTTGGGAGTGAGAGGTCTGGGATGGTGCTTGCTGCGAGTATGGCGACTGCTGTTGTTGGGGATGAGGACTTTGCTGGTTGTAATATGGAGTCTGGCTCTGCTGTCCGTATGCACTTGGGCCCTGCTGTCCATAAGGAGGAATCTACACAAGAAAAGTATAATTATGCAAGTTAGAAACAAATTCCACAAACAACTAGAATATGTAGGAGTTTCTGCAGACGACTCCTATGCAGCTTTGTTGGGCAATTAACTGGAAAGGTAATAGAAACGCTGCTTCCTAGATAAGTACCCCTCCAAGGAAACAGCAAAGCTGGTGGTATGCCAGATTTCCTCTGGAAATTACAGATCTTTAATATGGATCACAAGGATTTCATTGTGATGTCTATTAGCTCATCCTCATGTGTAAGTAAATCACCACAAAGAGTGAAGCCCCACTGTAAAGGCAGTCTTTTGAATTCTGCAAGGCATCATGAAGAGATGAAGTAGCAAGCCTCCCTGACCTGGAACTTTAAGTTATTCAGGAGTCGTTCTAGATCTATGTTGGTTTAAAGATTCATGTAGCTGCTATTTTAATCAATTAGCTGTCCTCCCTCTCTCCTCCTCCCCTATATTTGTGATACTAAATATCTATTGTCATCTCCCTGGAGAGCAAGATCATCACAGATCCCTGTCCATCACATAAGGAGTCATTGGTTTAAGTCCAACCACATCACAACACAGTCTAAGCCCCAGTGGTCATCAACCAGTAGATCGGGATCTACTGGTAGATCTTGGAGCCTTTGACAGGGGATCCTGACAGGTTTGGCTGGGAGTCTGTCAAGTGCTGGCAATGTATCTGCCTGTCTCAGGACTGATGTGCTGCGCCGGCCCTCTGCCTTGGATTCCCCCCTTCCCTCCCTCCAAAAGCCTCTTGTTTGCTGTGCAGGGCACAGGAAGACGACAAGGGGGTGCTGATGTCAGAGTGCCCTTCCCCCCACCCTGTACCCCCATCTCCAAAGGCTTGGGGAGGAAGGGGCAGGAGAGAAGGCAGGGATGGAGAGAGTTTGCTGGATGCTTTTGGAAGTAGTGCAGGGCTAAAGTCGGGGTAAGCCTTCCATACGCCCCTGCACCACCACCCAGAAGCCACCTGTGCCCAGCTGGAGCCCACATTCCCAACCCTGGACCCAGACCTGAACCTCTCTGCATCCCAAACCCCTGCCCCTAGCCCTGACTCCCTCCCAGAGCCTGCACCCTGAACCTACACTTCAACTCCCTGCCCCAGGCTCAGCTCCAAACCCCTCCCACACTTCAAATCCTTTAGCCCAAGATCAGAATCTATATCTCCTCTCCCCCACACCCCAGCCCTCTGCCCGCAGACTGATACGCGTGAGGATGAGGGAGGGCGGATGGAGTAAGTAGGGGCAGGGCCTTGGAGAAGAGGCGGGAAAGAGGCAGGGCAATGGTGTTTGATTTGGAGGTAGATCGTGGATTGCACTTAAATTCAAAACGTGATCTCGTGCTTACAAAGGCTGGAGACCATTGGTCTAAACAAATAACATTTTTACCTCAATAACAGAGGACGGTACATAGCAGAACTTGTTGAAGATGGTCCCATTATGGGAAACATATTTGAAGAGCTCACTCCTCTGCTAGTCAGAGAAGAATGGGCTGTGATGAGGCATGGAAGGTGTTTTATTTTTCGCTCTACCTGCTGTGCATACGAGATGCTGCCCATTGCACTCTGTGTCCTGCCTTGCATTCCCATGGGATATCTCTGGGGAGTCTGTGGCCCATATGGTTGTCCTGGATATCCATGGCCTTGCTGTGGCCCCGTCTGAGGTCCCTGCTGCTGTGTGTATGGGTTACTTCCTCCATATGGCTGAGGTCTCATCTTCCCCATTTGATCCATTGGGCTTGATGGCTGTGAAGAAAGTCAAAACACATGTAAAAACTATTATATTTGCATATACAATCCTTACTCCCATACAACCATAAAGAACTGGTAAGCAAGAAAGAGTGCTAAAAAATCTAAGCTGTAAGCTATCTTGCATCTCCTCAACTAATGAGCTATCAGCTCACAAAAATGCAGTAATACTCAAACACAGCAACACTTTCTGGAAGAGACGCAAGCACACAAGGCCGACAGACACTCCCTACAGCACTATCTGGCTCTGAAGAATCTTTTTACATTGTGTCATCTCTTATGAGGCCAGGAAAAAGGAAAGTCAGTTGATATATCCAACTGGGGAACTAAAGAACATTCATTTCACATGAAAAGTGGAAGGGTCTTTCCTCCCAGCAGGGAGTAGTTTAAACAGCATGTACACCACAAATAATTAAATCCTCTATAAAAGTTATGTTAATGCAACGCTATAGCTGAAAATTTAAGTGCAAAGAAGTCAAAATGTTCATGGCTCCCACAGCATCCCCCAGGCACTGATAGTTTCTTGCTTACCTCTGCTCGCAGAATGAGTAGGGCCTTTTGTGCATTTAGAAATTCAGCCGCACTGTTGCATTAATCCAGACATTTATTTCAGAGCATGGGTGCTACAAGTGCTCACATCAATTCATGTGTAAAGTCACGTTTCTACTTTTTAATGTGTGTTTTACAAGTTTCTCGTGTAACTTTTGAAATGCGTACCTATTATTTCTAAATCAATTTTTTTCAACAATATAAAATGCCCCCCTTTAGCTTTCAGAGCCATGCCTGTGGAAAGAATGAGTTTTAGAACCAAGCATTTTTTTTTTGTTTTTAAATGATATCCAATCACACATGAACTTGCAGCAGCTCTTATAAAAAGAGACTAGTCATATTTATAGTCAAGGAAAATTATCTAAAGTCAGTCCCTCTTTGAATCCTCTCAGTTCCCCCATCCCCATCTGCTTCCATATGATAAAGTACAGGCCTTGGTCATCATTTTCTGAGTCCTGTATAACTCTTCTGTCCCCGCCTATCACCATACCTCCCCCTCCTCCTAATAATGCCAGCCTTTTGCATTAATATCAACGTTTTAAACTTCCAGCCACCACCATATGCTGTCTCCTAGGGCTTGTCTACACAACAGATGTTGGTATAAAACTTTGTCTGCTCGAGGGTAGGAATAAACCACACACACGGGTATAAGTTACAGTGACCTGAGCACCAATATGGACAATGCTATGTTGGTGGAAGAGATCCTCAGGGAAGCGGCTTTATTATTAAGCCAACGAGAGAGCTCTCAGCACAGAACATCTTCACCAGCTGGACTGCAGTGGTGCTGCTGGAGCACAGTGAGGGACCACCTAGGCTAGTGAGTGGGCTGTGTGAGTGGCCCTCCATCTTAGCAGGCTGTAAGATTGCTGTAACCAAGACAGTCTCCTGTGATAGAGTAGCTTTTCTAACTGTGCTTGCATACCAAGAATTTGCGGGGTGTGCTGACTGAACTGTAGCAGCACTTTGGACGCAGAAGGAGTACATCGTTCTCACAAGGTTGTGTGCAACTCACCTCACTTCATGTGCCCTTGCTTTAAGTACATGTCACTTTTGTAATACCAGTAGGAAAAAACTATGCAGACAAAAACCAGGAGAATGAGGCAACCCTGTGCGTGGGCTATGGTAAACAGTGTCTCTGGGGCCACAAAATTGCAATGGGCCACAGGCTGCCTAGCACTCCAGCAGTGTTTCTAGCATACACTTGTCCTTATGCACATCTCTCTCCTTCCTTTGATTACCTACAAGGCTAATGCCACTTTTCAAATCCCTTGTCAAAATCCACTTCTGCCATGACACCCACAGGAAATCAGTTGACTGCTACCAATAAACTTGAAGAGTGATGGGGAATAGTTTATATATAGCCCTTAAAAACAGGACTTAGTATTTCCACACTATGGTCATATCACCACCTTGGCCACTCAGACTAGGAGTACAGCATGTATCTTTAGACGGGAATCCTCCAGGTCAGTGCCTATCGATACTGAAAGCAGCCAGCATACTATGGATGCTTCCAGAAATAAAAAGCAAGTCTGATAGTTAAGTGGTTTATTTCTACAAACACACCATTCTAAACTGAGGCCCTTTAAATCAAAGTATGTATATGAAAGGAGTGTAAACTCTAATTCATCCCTGAGGAAAGGACAAAAACTTAATACACATCTCTGATGCTTGTAATCAGAGCAGGCTAAGAGTGCTGCAGCACACATCAGCAGTGGAATAGCAGCACGTGGCCCCTTCCTTCTAAGTCTTCCATTACATACAATCACCCCTTTCATTGACAATGCTAGGATAGTTAAAGCCCTCACACACTTGCTCTGTTTTTTCAAAAAGTGTACCATCAGGAATCCCTTTATGCAATTTAACCCACGTACTTCAAGAAAGGAAGAGCCAGGAATGAAATGCAGTGGTGGGGTGTATTGATCCAGAAGCCAGTCATCTCTTGCACACTGATGTTACAGAATAGCAGATGGAAAAGCCAAGAGGAAGTGATGCCTGTCCACTTGCAAGAACACTTCAGGATAAATAAGGAAATACCAAACCCTGACTGCAAGAGACTGAAGATTCTTCTCTGGACTGACACATGAGAAATCCTTCTGACAGGAAACCACAGGAGTGATTACTGTGATTGCACGTTAAAAGCCCAAGGCCCTGCCACGAAGATGTAATTGAGAGAAAAGTTTTGCTGCTCCTTGATCAGTGAAGTCCAGACCTTTTTGTTACACTCTTCTGCATTCTTAGAAAGAGAAGGTAACTTACTGTAACTGGAGGTTCTTCGCGGTGTGTGGTCCCTAGGTGGATTCCAAACAGAGGCGTGCATGGGCAACAGTTCCTAGTGTCCAATGACCCCACTAGGGACCATCACTCGCAGAGCACCAAAGAGAAACCAAAAGCAAGCTCAGAGGCTGTTACATGTTTGTGAACTCTGAGAGGATTACAGAGCTAGACAATTTTTGATCCAGTCATCAGCAAAATTTTCAAAAACCAAAGTTGCTCTACTCCAATGTACATCAAAATAAGTACTTGTATGCCAGAGATTAAAACCAGTCTTTGGGGGAAAAAAAAGTCACAACCCCAAAAAGCCCCCTTCCTCCCCCAAAAATAATCCATTCTCCTAGGCAAAGAGCTTGTAACACCAAGTTTCAGACCAGAGCAAGTTTACTGCCACGCTCTAATATTCCCCACCCCCAATCAGATTGTATAATGGGAAGCGCATAAAGGTACAGTTACCCTAAACACACCATGCTGGCTCTGCTACAACGGAGAGACAATTTTACAAAAGAGTAAAAATTGTCCTAAGCAGGGTAACAGAACAGCATGTGCTGGTCAAGATAAACGCTAGTTTCATACATACAAGCAGGATTGAACAGGGAAGTCTTTTTTACAGCTTCAAAGCAGGTGAAAGTGTTAAAAACACACACACCACACAATTCTACCAGAAAACATAATGAAAGAAGATCCCATTCCTTTCTAAAGGGTTGAGTTAATTCACTTACCAGACCAACATGAAACACACTATGAAAGAGGCCACAGAGCAAAGAACAAACTGACAGCCTCCACAGCCAGGCGAACACATAGTCCTTTGACTTATGACAGTATTACAAATATTTTTGGAGGGTAGGCAGGGGGGCACACAGAGAGAAAAGGGGGGGAAGAATTTCTCACTGAACACTAATTTTGCAGCATTTGAATTGGCTTCTCTCAGAGATCTGCCAGTGCTGGGATAAACCAGAAACAGTTTCAAAATTCTTACCTTGGATCTGAATTTATTTCTGATCAGATCTGTTGTCCATGTTTGTGAGGGGATGGAAAGAGGAGGAAATGATAAAAAAAAATAATAATAATAAAAAGCATCCCTGGCTGTTTAACCCAGAGAAGCCCTAATTGATTCCCACAGTAATTAACCTGCATTTTACCTCCAAGAGTGGTAGTTAAGGAAGTCGGCACTGCTATTTATAACTCATCTCAAATTGAGGGCAGACTGCCTAAAATCTAACACATCCCAGCTGTACTCCTGTTTGAACTGGGGCCAAGGGAATTTTTTAAAGCAATCTTGGCACTGAATGAATGACACCAACAGTATGAGAGAGCGTGTGGTTGTGTTGTGGTGACGTAGTAGTAGAGGTGGAATGGGAGGGGGGAGGGAGGCAATGTACTGTAATCCCTCTCTCATGCAAGCTTTCATTTCACAGGCCCCAACCCCACAGTCCCTGTACAGTGTACTGGGAACCACCCACTAAGAACCAAGCACAGGAAATGTCTTTTCCTGTGGAACCTTGAAGTGAGAAGCACATGGCTAATCTGCATAAAAAGCAAAGCCACACTGCCCCTGCCAGGAAGGTTAGTGCTCATAATCTCTGGCCATGAGGCTGGCTGCCTGTGAGGACTTGGACCTGTGCCCGATAACCCAGAAAGAGTGGAGAGAACAGATGGGTAAGGACCCCGGCAGAAAACAGCAGAGGTCACGTGATTCACCACATGGCCCTGCAAGCACAAACTATTGTTTGGCTGCTGTGCTCCTATACAAAGGCAGCAAGTCCATTTCCTGCAAATTCAGGGAGAAGCAGCAGCTGGTCACTGCTGCTTCTCCTATTGAATCCTACCATGCTCAAGCTAGTCAGAGGACAGGGACCACTAAGCCCCTGGGACCTGGAAGCCGCCAGACAGAAAAAAAGCTCTCGCCAACAAAACACCGATTAACACTGTTTTTGCAAGCTCATAGATGCAGCTCTCGTCATCAATTCCCCATAGCAGAACCCAGATGGGATCTTATAGAACTGAAGAAAAGAAATTAGATTTCTGCTCAGAAGATTGTCCTCTTTTCCTGTGTGGCAAGGATTACACTGCTCAGGCACAAAGCCATAACCAGCCGTAGTTACTGGAGAAGCTGGAGAGCAAGCTGTCTGATGCTCACTCCATTAGTGCTGAATTAGTATTGGAGAGTACCAAGG